CAAATCCAACAGGAAGTCAGCCATTTTAAAATTAATGTGCAATTTTGGCAACATTTTCCCCTCTTTTCAGGCATCGTTCTTTGACGAACTCCTCCAAGGGATTTCATCATATTGCACTATTCTTCAGTGTGTGGAATCCAAAGACCTTTGTGTTGTTAAATTGCGAAGCTTTTTACGTTCAGGGAAACGGGGTGGTTATGGCGGCACGTAGACTCTCAATCACTCGCCAAAACGCAGTAATCTGCTGTTACTCAAAAACACAATGTCCAATCTCACCCAAAGGTCGCAGGCATAATGAGACTCGAGTTCGGAAATGTTTGTTATGCCATTTGTACATAATGGTTAGAGTGCCACCTAGTGGAACGACTAGCTAATCATGAATGAATGAGTTGAAATGTTAGCTGGTGGTTAAATGCATGAATTCCATCAATGTGACATCGATCGGACGTGCTGGTTTTAGGTGTTGGGCGTGGCTCGACGCGCCGGGGGTGCGAGGGCCCTCATAACGCTGCTTGCAGCTTTAATTATTATTATTATTATTATTATTATTATTCACCCCAAACAAGGGCCTTTTTGAGGGCCTAAACATGCTCAAAAACTCATGAAATTTTGCACACATGCCAGGTCTGGTGAAAAATTTTGTATTTTAATGGTTTTATATATGAGCACTGGGAAATGGCTCTAGAGCGCCACCTATGCCTTGTTAAATGCAGCCCTACGACCACATGGTTTGAGCTACATGTATGAAATTTGGCACACATGTGTATCATGCCAAGACGAACAAAAAAGTCTTGGGGCCCACTGACGCAAACCCAACAGGAAGTCCGCCATTTGGAAGAGAAGGTGACATTTTGGCTCTAATTTTGCCATTTCCATGCCTCGAACTTTAACGAACTCCTCCTTGGGGTTTCATTTCATAACCTTCAAATTTGGACAGTGTCAACTACACCCTTGTGCCATGTTAAATTGCGGAGCTTTTGAGTTTTCACAATACTATGAGGCCGTGGCGCCATGGCGAATTTCGATGACTCGCCATGAAAATCTTATTGCCTCTCATTTTGTCATAGATTTTCTGACCTTGACCAAAGTGAACACATATGATAAGGCTCCACCCCTAAACATATTTCAACTGCCATATTTGACATGAAGGACAGCGCCACCTAGTGGGAACAGGAAATGTCATGTTTTACACTTTGGGGTACAGTATAGTGATGGGTGACATCTGCAGCCTCAAATTTCTCCAGAAAACCCTTAAGGAGTTGGTCTTGGGTTACAGTGAAAACTGTGACTTTTCGCAAAAGGGTGTGACCCCAGCAGCATGGCGAACTTTGATGTCACGCCATGAAGAAACAAATTAGTATAACTCCATGAAATCCAGTCTGATCAGTACCAGACTTTACAGGCATGAAGTCAGACCCGCCCTGAACAGATTGATGTGCCCATTGTCGGGAATACGGACAGCGCCACCTAGTGGGAACAGGAAATGTCATAGCTTTAATTTTGTTGTACTGATTTTCACAGGTTCATCGTGGCCACCTCAAAAGCGGTGAATATCACCATCAGTCCCTTGTGATGCTTCAGTGCAAGAATTGTGACTTTAAACTGAACGCCGCACCCTGGTGGCAACGCAGTTCACCATGAAAGATGAAGTGGCTTTTGAGGGGCTTGGAAAGTTTAAAAAGTCTTGAAATTTGGCGCACACCTCCAATGCGGTTAAGGCTTTGTTGTTATGTGATCATTTTCATTGAATATCCCAAAATGGCTCCACAGCGCCCCCTACAAAATTTCAAAATCACAGCCCCTGCTCTGTGTTTTATGTATGAGTCTGAAACCTGGTAAGCTTATAGGAGATATCAAGATGTACAAAAAAGTCTCTTGGAGCAATATCCCAAATCCAACAGGAAGTCAGCCATTTTAAAATTAATGTGCAATTTTGGCAACATTTTCCCCTCTTTTCAGGCATCGTTCTTTGACGAACTCCTCCAGGGGATTTCATCATATTGCACTATTCTTCAGTGTGTGGAATCCAAAGACCTTTGTGTTGTTAAATTGCGAAGCTTTTTACGTTCAGGGAAACGGGGTGGTTATGGCGGCACGTAGACTCTCAATCACTCGCCAAAACGCAGTAATCTGCTGTTACTCAAAAACACAATGTCCAATCTCACCCAAAGGTCGCAGGCATAATGAGACTCGAGTTCGGAAATGTTTGTTATGCCATTTGTACATAATGGTTAGAGTGCCACCTAGTGGAACGACTAGCTAATCATGAATGAATGAGTTGAAATGTTAGCTGGTGGTTAAATGCATGAATTCCATCAATGTGACATCGATCGGACGTGCTGGTTTTAGGTGTTGGGCGTGGCTCGACGCGCCGGGGGTGCGAGGGCCCTCATAACGCTGCTTGCAGCTTTAATTATTATTATTATTATTCACCCCAAACAAGGGCCTTTTTGAGGGCCTAAACATGCTCAAAAACTCATGAAATTTTGCACACATGCCAGGTCTGGTGAAAAATTTTGTATTTTAATGGTTTTACATATGAGCACTGGGAAATGGCTCTACAGCGCCACCTATGCCTTGTTAAATGCAGCCCTACGACCACATCGTTTGAGCTACATGTATGAAATTTGGCACACATGTGTATCATGCCAAGACGAACAAAAAAGTCAGTGGGCCCATTGACGCAAACCCAACAGGAAGTCCGCCATTTGGAAGAGAAGGTGACATTTTGGCTCTAATTTTGCCATTTCCATGCCTCGAACTTTTGCGAACTCCTCCTTGGGGTTTCATTTCATAAGCTTCAAATTTGGACAGTGTCAACTACACCCTTGTGCCATGTTAAATTGCGGAGCTTTTGAGTTTTCACAATACTATGAGGCCGTGGCGCCATGGCGAATTTCGATGACTCGCCATGAAAATCTTATTGCCTCTCATTTTGTCATACATTTTCTGACCTTGACCAAAGTGAACACATATGATAAGGCTCCACCCCTGAACATATTTCAACTGCCATATTTGACATGAAGGACAGCGCCACCTAGTGGGAACAGGAAATGTCATGTTTTACACTTTGGGGTACAGTATAGTGATGGGTGACATCTGCAGCCTCAAATTTCTCCAGGAAAGCCTTAAGGAGTTGGTCTTGGGTTACAGTGAAAACTGTGACTTTTCGCAAAAGGGTGTGACCCCAGCAGCATGGCGAACTTTGATGTCACGCCATGAAGAAACAAATTAGTATAACTCAATGAAATCCAGTCTGATCAGTACCAGACTTTACAGGCATGATGACAGATCCGCCCTGAACAGATTGATGTGCCCATTGTCGGAAATACGGACAGCGCCACCTAGTGGGAACAGGAAATGTCATGGCTTTCATTTTGTTGTACTGATTTTCACAGGTTCATCGTGGCCACCTGAAAAGCGGTGAATATCACCATCAGTCCCTCGTGATGCTTCAGTGCAAAAATTGTGACTTTAAACTGAACGGCGCACCCTGGTGGCAACGCTGTTCACGATGAAAGATGAAGTGGCTTTTGAGGGTCTTGGCAAGTGTATAGAGGCTTGAAATTTGGCACACACCTCCAATGTGACGAAGGCTTTGTTGTCATGTGATCATTTTCATTGAATATCCCAAAATGGCTCCACAGCGCCCCCTACAAAATTTCAAAACCACAGCCCCAGCTCTGTGTTTTATGTATGAATCTGAAACCTGGTAGGCTTATAGGAGATATCAAGATGTACAAAAAAGTCTCTTGGAGCAATATCCCAAATCCAACAGGAAGTCAGCCATTTTAAAATTAATGTGTAATTTTGGCGGCATTTTCCCCTCTTTTCAGGCTTCATACTTTGACGAACTCCTCCAGGGGATTTCATCATATTGCACTATTCTTCAGTGTGTAGAATCTAAAGACCTTTGTGATGTTAAATTGCGAAGCTTTTTACGTTCAGGGAAACGGGGTGGTCATGGCGGCACGTAAAGTTTCAATCACTCGCAAAAAGCAGTAATCTGCTGTCACTAAAAAACACAATGTCCAATCTCTCCCAAAGGTCGCAGGTGTGATGAGACTCGAGCTTGGAAATGTTTGTTATGCTATTTGTCAATAATGGTTAGAGCGCCACCTAGTGGCATGACTATAATCCTGGTTGAATAAGATGAAATTTTAGCTGGTGATTAAAAGCATGAAATCCATCAATGTGACATCACATCGGACGTGCCGGTTTGAGGTGTTGGCAGTGGCTCGACGTGCCGGGGGTGCGAGGGCCCTCATAACGCTGCTTGCAGCTTTAATTAAAAATGTTTTCCCAGCTAAAGATCTAACGTTTAATAAAGCCAACTTAAGTGTTTTAGAGGCATTACTTGCCCCCTCGTGTTTGGGAGCAGTCTGTGGCACACAAGGTATGTTTACTATGAATTTCTAGTAAAGTGCTTCATATGGAGCTGTCCAACTGAGAGCAATCATTGTGACACATTGTGTAAAAGAGTTTAGAGATTGAAGTAAAGATGATTTAATGCCATTTTAATTCCTTTATATTCTTCTCTGAACCTTATCTTTAAACTTTCTTTGTGATTAAATTAAACTTGAATGAAAAAGATGAAATACAAAGGACACCAGCCCTCACACACAGCAATAACATTATCTTGGCACAGGGCTGACTTGACACGGGCGCGGTTGTGATAAGGTGAATGTAGCACATTCATGAATCAGACATTATCCAGATAACATATGTAGAAATAGCTGCAGAACAAATAAAAAGGCAGAATTTTCTCACAGCTGTCTCTTGAAATGGGTGTGAATGTTACTGATTTGTTACAATTGAGTGATCCAATATTTAAAAATGGCTATTTGAAGTTTTGAATTTTGTCTTTTATACATTCCTCAGTTCCTGTTCTGGTAAATGTTTTACTCTCTTTTTTAACCCCTTTTTGTGTACTTCCTGTTTTATTTTGACATTTTGATTCCCAGTGCTGTTTCCTTTGTTTTTACTTCTCATGCCCATTAGTCTGACTGAATTCAGCTGTTCCAAATCATTGTTTGATGGTGTTGGAGTTTCCTGTTGTGCTGCATGCACGTCGCAAGTGTAAGTCAAAATAGGTTTTTCTCTGTTTATCAAACTAGTGTTGATTTAGCCGTCAGTAATTTTCTCCTTTAAGATTTTAATTATATATTAAAAGCCAAAACAAATGAAAATACAAGTTTGAACACATATGGCTTACAGCCTGGTGCCTTATTCTGAACTCCTCTTAAAAAACAAACCAAACAAACATATTTTGAGTCAGTAGTCACCTTTCTTTTGAAATACATAGGATGCTAAGATTGTTTTTTATAAGTGATACTTTGATGTAACAGACAGGTTTTGTTAGTCCAAATGACCATCCTTTCCTTAAGTAGGTCGGATGAGCTGATCTGAGTATTTTATGAACTCGGATCAACTCAAAACAGCCATCTCCAGGTTTTTCAGGGAATTGTCAAAAAACCATATATAGTCTATAGCGAGCAATCATATGTTGTTAATGTCTGGGAGAATGTGCAGACTGCTTTGAGCTACAGTAACTCAATAACCCCTCGTTGCAACAAAGGTATGCAGAAGAGCATCTCTGAATGTCCAAAACATTGAAACTTGAAGTAGATGGACTGTTGCAGCAGTTAACCACAGTAAACTGAGGCTCCAGTTGGCGCTGGCTCACCAACATTGGACAGTGGAACTATAGGAAAATGTTGCCTGGTCTGATGAGTTTTGATTTTTGGATCAGAATTTAGCGAAAACAACATGAAAAGATCCGTCCTGTCTTGTATGAGTGGTTCAGACTGGTGCTGTCACAATGTAGGGGATGTTTGCTTGGCACGTTTTGGCCTCTGAATACCAACTGAACACTGTTTAGATGTCACAGCCTACATGGTTATTGTTGCTGACCACATTTATCCCTGTGAGACCACAGTCTTCCAGAAGCATAACAAACCATGTCACAAAACTCGAATCATCTCAAATTGGCTTCCTGAACTTGACGGTGGACGTGCAGCTGCAACTGTGCTGCTATGGTGGCAGTACGAACCAAAATCTGAAAGGAATATTTCTAGTACTTTGTCAGATCTACGCCATGAGAAGGGCAAGCAAAGAATGTAGGATTTCTAAAGGACAAAGGGGTTCCAACCCAGTATTAACAAGGTCTACATGAGTAAATGTGTAATTAAAAGGTAGATCATTACAATGACTGATGGATATAAAAATAATATGTACATTATGAAGTGCATACCCAAACCTTTTGCTGACAGTCCTGGCCCTGTATCCTTTCTCGTGCATATGGCAAAAATTGAAAGTTATTTCATTAAAAAAGACTCGTCATGCTCTGTAACAGGATATTTTAGATATCAACAGCCACAAATGGAAAGTCGTAAAACTTATCTTAAGTCCTGGAAACTAGCTCAGAGATTTTTGATTAGTGACTGTATATCAGGGATATCCAGCTCCAGGTCTCGAGTGCCGGTGTCCTGCAGGTTTTAGATCTCGCCCTGGGTCAGCACATCTGAATCACATGATTAGTTCATTAGCAGGCCTCTGGAGAACTTCAGGTCATTTAGCCATTTAAATCAGCGGTTCAGGACACAGCACTCGAGGCCTTGAGTTGCCTGTTGTATACAGTGTGGATTTAGTTCCTCAAAACGTAAATACAGAGTAGCGATGAAGTGATTCATCTCGCCTCAGAGTCAAGAGCCTCTAGGGCTGTGATGACGAAAACTTAACCTACACATTTGTTTCCATTTAAGGTTGGTGTGGTCATACAAATGAAAATAGGACTCACACAGACATACATGCCCACATAGATGTAAGTGGAGGATGATTTTTGTAACACATTCTGCTGCTTGAGTGATGTGTTCAATGAAGGTGCCACAGCCACATTTACCACAACTGCTGTTTTGAAGTTTGCCCCTTGTGCGAGTGCCTCAGTTTGACATACTGTCTCGCAGTATTCGAGATGCTGTTTGGGCACTGAGCCCTATAGCAATTATTATAAACCAGGAGAAAGGACAGATCTTCTGAATCAACTGTAATCTGTATTAATGGGTATCTGCATTAGAATTTGTCAGCAGGAGGCTGAAGTCAGGTACCAGATGCTTCTTGCTTCATTTGCATTTGTAGTAAAAGTTTTGCTGATCAGTAATGTCTGAATGACTCTAAACGGTCTTTGTGGACAGCAAGAGAAACATATTGATGACTGCACATGAAACAGCAAGTTTTGGTATACATAGACTCTTTATTTACCCTGAAGGAAATTTACATCCATTATCCAGATATCCACCAGCTACAGTGGCAGCCACTAGAGATTTTAATGCTCCAATAATGCTCTGTGGCATGTTGTCACACTGCTGAAGTCTGTCTAAGTTAAGGTTTAGCAGAAAATTGCAATCTATACTTTTTATACTCAGGAATTGTCCCTCACTTCTGGTTGATTTTTATTTCACTGTTAGAAACGTAAGGTTGGCTTATCACCTTCAGAAATATTCCAGGGGTGTTTCTCTCAGATGGAGCTGAAGATGGAGCTCTGCTTGGCCCTTGTGTGATCAATGATCTCTCTCACTTAAAGAAATAGACACAGTAAAATCGTAATACATGAAGTGACTCCTCCTGTTTCTTGGGAATTCAAGTTTCTGTTGATCTGTGTTTTGCTATCATTTTACATTGACAACACCCTTCTGAGTGTCTCTTCTACACAGTCATCACATTGTATTAACTGGTCACATGGGTTGGGTAGTGACTTGCTGCACAGTCGGGTACGGCTTTTCAGGTGACATTCTCTGCAGAATAGCTAAAATGCTTTGCGGGAAAATGCCACTCCAGTTCGTCATCATTATAAGTTGTTCTCCGAAAATGTCTGACAGAATTGTTTCAACACCTAAACAAAGTGGCACCTTATTAGTATGGCAGGCCCATGACACACAAGGCAGACTCACAGTCGGTCAGCCGACAAGTTATTGAGGCAGTAAAATCAGCAGTGGAAGTGTGGGGGTGTTGCACAGCACAGGCCAACTGTCAGCCAAAAAAAGGTTTCAGAGAAAGTCTGTAACTGAGCTCCAAGAGGAGCAGTGTCATACTGGGCTGTGTGCTGAAGGTTGTTGTTGCAGACTTTTGTTAAATTTGATTGCAAATAATTTATATTATGTTTGTCCATTGTGTTATGTTGTAATGCAAAAACGACATTCTCATTATAAAGTAGTGTTTCCAGTTAATACTTGTACAGCTGCTGTTATTGTGTATATATTTATTTATATTTATATTTCTTCATACATTCTTATATAGTTCTATATTGTGTATTTTGTTGTAGAGTTATTTTATTTTCAACTTTAATTTATATATTTTATCTTATTCTTTCCCAGTTAAATTTACCCTTCATTCTAATTTGTGTTGTACAGTTATTTCATTTTTAACCTTAATTTATATTTTATTCCTTCCTAGTTAAATTCACCCTTTTTAATTTTTCATATTTATTTCCTATCTTATTCATAGCCTTTTCCTTTTTTGTTCTCTTTAGGTCACGAGCAGTTGTCTAAGCATTTCACTGCATATCGTACTGTGTATGACTGTGTACGTGACAAATAAAATTTGAATTTGATTTATTTTAGTGAATGGTCAAGACTAAACATTATTTCAATGTTGTATTTGTTGGAGGGCTTTGATGTCTACATGCTCTCAGAATATGTTTAAATTATGAATATGAAAAGTCCTGCGTTGAACCTAATTTCATGTTTAAGAAAGTGTCCGACATAATTCTTTGGATGCTGCAAACTGAGCGTGCAGCTTTTAGCCTTACACGCTCAAGTGCTTTACAAACTATTTAGGAAGCTAGCTATCAGTTAGCTTAGCACAAACACTGGAAATATTTGGACTCATGGTTTGCTTAGTTTTTACTGTTGAGTTCACTGACACTGAAGCGTGTGCACTCTTGCTGCTAGAGGTTGACTTGTAGCCCATTTGACAATCATTAGCTGTAAAGCAAAATGCCAATTGTGTGACTTTGAAGCCCGTGAAGCCATTAACAAGTGTTTCTTTGTGGAGCTGGCATGCTTTCCCTGTGCCTGTGGGGGTTTTCTCTGGGCCTTCTTCCTACACACCAAACACATACATGCTAGGTTTTTGATTCTAAATTGACCATGGATGTGGAGTAGACAAAGTGCTTGGAAGTATACAAAATACAGCTCTTTATGAAGGTATGGTCAAATGTGGTCGAGGACTAAAGCACTTTGAGAGGTTGGTGCAACTGGGGGGAAATGGATGTTTTTAAACACAAGAACATTTATATCTGTGTCAGTTTTTACAGGCTTTTAATCCTGCTGTCCTAGCACCTCATCAGGTCATTGTGCTGTGAAAATTGGATTACAAGCTTGAAACATAATCACGTTTACTTCTTATTCTTGTTAAATTTCAGTGTACTAAATATGTACAAGTATACCAAAATGAATAAAAATGAGTGCAGCATTAAATATGGCAGTTTATAAGGAATGTAGATAATCAGGAGTCTTTAACTACCAAACAACTGTTTAAAAAAATAGACACTGAGGCAAAATGAAGTGTAAGCAAGTGTTGCTGCTTGTTTGTACCTTTGTGGACCTGGTTAGTCCTGTTGATAAGGAGTGGTGTTTCTCACTCATACATCTTTCTCTTGTGCTTTCTAGTCAGGTTTCGGCTGCCTAAAGGCCTAGTCTGAAGTTAAGGTGTGTGGGGGTGTGTGTCTGTGTGTGCGGATTTGTTGCAAGGGGGCTCCAAAAGAGGCGGTCCTGATGCTGCCTAACCTGTTTGCCTGCATTATAGGTATTCAACTGGCAGCTTCACCTCGTCCTGCCCACAGAGCAGCAGTGATACACTGAAGAGGAGACATCTGGCCCTAGGCTTTCCTAAGGAGACGGTGTCTTTGGCACACGGTAAGTCCATCAAATCTCAGTTTGGTTGTTAGGGCACAATCTATGATTGGAATAAATTGGAGGAGATTTGATAAAAAAAAAATACCTTAATGTTTATTCATTTCAAAATCTAAAAATTGCATTTCAGTAAAATGTACATTGTAGTTGGTATAGGTTCATCTCTGTACTTCACATCAGTTACATTTATGTTTTCATTCGAGTACTGAGACTGACCCCGTCCTCTCACAGACTTGGGTGGAAAGTCTGAATTAATACTGAAGCCATTTAAGGATGAGGCGTTTGCTTATGTTTTGCCTCTGGTGTCATTGATTTTTTTTTTAAATTGTTGTACTTGTATGTCAGCACCAAACTGCAGAGTTTGTCTAGCGTAAAGATTTTAAAACAGGTTGACCACAACTGTGGGCATGCCAGACTCTGCTGTCACTGGGCTCACACCCTGTTTGATTGAAGTTGTTTCTCAAAACGTTGCCACCCTGGATACACCTATTAACGGCAATGCAATTAGTTTTTTAAGAAGTGTCTTGTGACTTCACTGCCTTTCCTGTTTGTTGCTCATCGCTGGTTTGGGGAACCATAAGGTAGAGCCTAAAACCACTGCCCAGTTTCCTTGCAAGTCAAGAATGCCTGAAACAGCATCGTTGAGCATATGACTACAGTTTTCTGAGCTCTCACTGAAGAATTAGATTTATCTACTGTCATCTGGTTATTACCTGGTTAGTAGTTTCTATATTTAAAGAAAGAGAACTCCTGGGATGGACTGTGTTATTACCAGTGGGTGTTGGCCAATAATAATCAATTAGCAGTTAGTTTTGTAAGTATTGTTTTGTTTTTTTTCACAAGTCCTGTTTGTTTCAATTTGAGTGACTGTTTTTACCACATCTGATTTCTTTTTTGAGTTGAATTTAAAAGCATGGTGTTGACGATCGTCTGACTCTTAGCTCTGCTGGACAGTATAAACCTGATGAAGCAGACGCTCTTGAGTTTAGGGTTTTTATCACAGCATGTCTAAAACCTGCTCCCTCATTTTCTATTCGACACTGCTGCAAGTGAATTACGTTAGTGTTTATATGCGAATGTGTTGAGGTGTGGTCGAATCCAGTGTGTGTCAGTCAGAATGCATCCAAACCAACTGGTTTAGATGCCTACATACACCTTAACAAACCTGGCAAAGGCTTTAGATTCCTGAAGTGTGAGACAATGTGGTTTGTGGGCGTCAGAGTTTCTCTGTCAGTTCAGAATCAGGAAAAAATAAATAAAAGTACCAGCTCTTCTTTAAAGAAACAAAACGCGTTTCACTTGTGTGTCTTTATGTGGATAGTATTATCAGGTATTACAAAAATGTTATTGCACGGGTAGAAACAGTGACACACTATTTTTTTAGCTGCACCTACAGTATACCTAAACCAGTGTTTTTATTAATAAGCTGAAAGCTGCATGTTGCTGCATTGTTTGTGATGAGAGATCAGAAAGAGTACAGCTTTTAGAAAAAATAAAATGATCTGATTTTACTTTTACCTACAAAAACGACATTCAGCATTGCTTCCCTGCATCTTACTTAGTCGGTGTCAGCTTTAAGTAAAAGCTCCCTCTGCTTTCTTTTGTGTTTCACAGATAATATTGCTGTAGTTCCCACATTCGCTTGAATTGTCATATGAATTCTGTGATGTGGATGTGCATGTAATAGAAATAATGGTAAGTATAACAATGTTAGACATACAGTGGCTGACAATCATACACAAAAATGTAAACATTGCCTGATGTAAAAATCTCACACTGTGTATTCTAACCACTGTCAAAGGACCAGGACAGCAAGAGTGCAAGCTTCTCAGAAAGCCTCGTGCTGGATAACGCTGAGAAAGGAGTTGTTGTTGCAGGAATCAAAGACAACACAATCTCTCCAAAAAGTGGTAAGATAAACATTTCAGATTCATTTTTGTTAGTTTTGAAAATTCAATAAGCACTAATAGAAAAAAAGAATGTGACATTATTTCTGCTCCTTTCAGGAGAAAGGTTTGTTGCAGCAACAATACAACTTGGTAAACTTGAGAAAAACGATGTGGAGAAAATCTTGAAGGTGCTGGAGCCGTACGAAAGCAACATAAATCTTCTGACAGAGAAGGACTTGAACCCCGGTGTTGACCTTGGCTCTTTGGGAGTAGGTCTCAAAGATTCGGCAGCGGTAAGCATCAAGCTGTGGGGAACATTTGGTTTATGTTATTATAGGAAACACCATAAAATCTGTTTTTATTTATACATTTTTAAACCTTTTTGTGTATGAGAACTGTTGAAATATTGACTTTCAGTATTTCAATAAACTGTCAAATCACAATATATCTGAAAAGATATCCAGTTAGACATTAAATCCTTTTTCTAAAAACTGCATATGTGAAGCCTAAAATCCCCTACGTAAAAATCTTTTTCTCGAATCTGTTACCAAAATTAAGCAATAGTAAGCATATCAGTGCTTTCTAAGAAGACGGGTCAGTTTGCTTATTTCAACATACAATATATATATTTTACTGATGCAAGTGACCTAATGTATGGGGACGTTTTGTGAGGTGGTGGTGATTTACTTAATCTAGTCCATCCTATTCGTCCATGACATCTTCTATTTCCCATTTCTACCCCCACCTTGCTGCAGTGCAGATGAACTGGACATGATTTGTGCTGCTCAGAATACAATTTTGGTTAATAGTCATAAAGTTAGTGCTTTAATTTTGTTTTTTTTAATTACCAACAGATATTACAGAAGGATCTATCGCTGGATGCATCAGCTCAGGGACCAACCGTTTCCCTTGATGGCCTGAATGGAAAGCTTAATGATGCACAAGGGTTGGGGGTAAAAATAAGTGAACCGACTCTTAATGGAGACCTTCCCAGTCTTAGCCTAAATAAGCCATCAACTGCTGCTGGTGCCACATTTAAAATGCCCTCCGCAGGGCTTACAATGCCAGACATAAAATCAGATTCAAGTGGAACCCTAGAAGTACCTGATATCAGTGTCTCAGCTCCCAATCTTAACACTCCCATTGCAACACTAGACATCAACAAACCAGAAGTCGAAGGCAAAATGAAACACAAGGCCCCGAAATTCACAATGCCACACTTCAATCTACCTGATCTTGATGCACCAAAAGCAGACATTGATGTCTCTGGTGATCCAGGTCTTCCTTCAGTCAGTGGAAGTATGGAGAGACCAGACCTCAACCTGTCAGCTCCAAAGTTAGATTTGAAAAGTAATGATTTGGAGCTGAATGGGCCAAAAGTGGATTTGAATAGTCCTGATGTAAATGTAAAGGCCCCAGATGCTAATATTGAGGCACCCTCAGGGAAAATCAAGTGGCCCCATCTAAAATGGAAAAGTCAAAAACTCAAAGGACCAGATGCTGACCTGTCCACACCTAATGCCAGCATTTCCACACCAAAGATTGATGGTGATCTAAGTACCCCAGATGTGAATGTTGGCTCAGCTCAAGCTGATATTAAAGGCCCTGATCTAGATGTTCAAACCCCAGATCTTAACGTTGATGCCCCTTCTGGTAAGATCAACTGGCCTCACCTGAAATGGAAGAAGCCCAAACTTGAAGGATCAAAAGCAGACTTGGACATGGATGCAGACCTAAAGAAACCTGATTTAAGTCTTTCAGCTCCAAAGATTGAGGGTGACATTAATGTACCAAATGCTGAGCTGAGTCTTCCAGAAACAGAGCTAAAGGCCCCGGGTGTAGATGTTCATGCCCCAGACGCTGACATTGATGCTCCTTCAGGAAAAATTAACTGGCCTCATCTAAAGTGGAAAAAATCCAAACTTAATGGGCCAAAAGCTGATATGGACCTCAATGCAGATTTAAGCCCACCAGATGCTTCAGTTCCAAAAATTGATGGGGAGATTAGTACACCTGACGTGAGCCTCAATTTACCCAAAGCTGACGTTGATATCAAAGCACCAGATGCTGACATAAATCCACCGTCTGGCAAAATCAAGTTCCCAACACTGAGAAAACCTAAATTCTTGGTTTCTGGGCCAAAGGTGAAAGCTCCAGATGTTGATGTTGATGCTGATGTGAAAGCACCTGACCTCAGTCTGTCTGCTGAAGCACCTGATGCTGATCTGAATTTACCAAAAGCTGACCTTGATATCAAAGCACCAGATGCTGACATAAACCCACCGTCTGGCAAAATCAAGTTCCCAACACTGAAAAAACCTAAATTCTTGGTTTCTGGGCCAAAGGTGAAAACCCCAGATGTTGATGCTGATGTGAAAGCACCTAACCTCAGTCTGTCTGCTGAAGCACCTGATGGTGATCTGAATTTACCAAAAGCCGATGTTGAAGCACCAAATGTAGACATTGAATCTCCATCTGGAAAGATCAAATTACCAACTATGAAAAAGCCAAAATGGTCAATCTCGGGTCCTAAGGTTAATGGTCCAGATGTTAATGCTGATGTGAAGGCACCTGACCTCAGTCTGTCTGCTGAAGCACCTGACCTCAGTCTGTCTGCTGAAGCACCTGATGCTGATCTGAATTTACCAAAAGCTGACCTTGATATCAAAGCACCAGATGCTGACATAAACCCACCTTCTGGCAAAATCAAGTTCCCAACACTGAAAAAACCTAAATTCTTGGTTTCTGGGCCAAAGGTGAAAACCCCAGATGTTGATGCTGATGCTGATGTGAAAGCACCTGACCTCAGTCTGTCTGCTGAAGCACCTGATGGTGATCTGAATTTACCAAAAGCCGATGTTGAAGCACCAAATGTAGACATTGAATCTCCATCTGGAAAGATAAAGTTGCCCACTATGAAAAAGCCAAAATGGTCAATCTCGGGTCCTAAGGTTAATGGTCCAGATGTTGATGCTGATGTGAAAGCACCTGACCTCAGTCTGTCTGCTGAAGCACCTGATGCTGATCTGAACTTACCAAAAGCTGACCTTGATATCAAAGCACCAGATGCTGACATAAACCCACCGTCTGGCAAAATCAAGTTCCCTACACTGAAAACACCTAAATTCTTGGTTTCTGGGCCAAAGTTGAAAACCCCAGATGTTGATGCTGATGTGAAAGCACCTGACCTCAGTCTGTCTGCTGAAGCACCTGATGCTGATCTGAACTTACCAAAAGCTGACCTTGATATCAAAGCACCAGATGCTGACATAAACCCACCGTCTGGCAAAATCAAGTTCCCTACACTGAAAACACCTAAATTCTTGGTTTCTGGGCCAAAGTTGAAAACCCCAGATGTTGATGCTGATGTGAAAGCACCTGACCTCAGTCTGTCTGCTGAAGCACCTGATGGTGATCTGAATTTACCAAAAGCCGATGTTGAAGCACCAAATGTAGACATTGAATCTCCATCTGGAAAGATCAAATTGCCCACTATGAAAAAGCCAAAATGGTCAATCTCGGGTCCTAAGGTTAATGGTCCAGATGTTGATTTAGATGCTGGTGTTTCAACCCCTGACTTGAATCTCTCAGCTCCAAATATGGATGGTGAGATAAATGCACCAGATGTGGATCTAAATTTACCAAAAGCTGAACTGGAAGCCCCCAAATTTGATGTAGAATCTCCAGATGTTGACATTGAAGCCCCATCTGGAAAATTCAAATGGTTCCAATTCAAGAAACCCAAATTTGGCACACTGAAAGGTCCAAAGGCTGATATTGACTCTAATGTGACGATACCAGAGGTGGACCTCAAAAAGGCTGATGCAGAAATAAGTGCACCAGATGTTAATCTTTCTGCATCAAATATTGACGCCAATATCAGTGGCCCAGACCTTAACCTTGGTGGTCCAGATCTTGATGCACCTGATGCAAAGGTGAAGTTTCCCAAATTTAAATTTCCCAAACTCAAAGGATCACAAGTCCAGGGTCCCAGTGTGGATGCTGATTTAAAAACACCTCATATTGATGCAAGTCTTGATACACCAAAAGCTGAAGTGAATGCACCTAGTGCAAACCTCAGAGCGGAACCTCTCTCCTTGTCTGCACCAAAAGTTAATGGTGGTCTTGATGCGCCAGATCTTGACGTAAATTTACCGAAAGCTGATCTAAAAGGCCCCAGTGTAGACATTCAAGCTCCAGAGGCTGATGCCCATGCAGGAAAAATCAAGCTTCCCCAAATAAAATGGCCAAAGTTTGGCACATCGGCGCCAAAAGTGAAAGGACCAAATCTTGATGTTGATGCTGATCTACAACGTCCAGATCTAGGTCTGTCTGTTCCTGATGTAAATGCAAAGTTACCCAGTGCAGACTTGACAGCACCCAATGTTGAACTAAAAGCATCAGACTTGAGTCTCTCAGCCCCCAAACTTGAGGGAGACATTGGTACTCCAGGCATTGATGCTGGTCTTAAAACTGGTATTGATCTTTCTGCACCAAAAGTTAATGGTGGTCTTGATGCGCCAGATCTTGACGTAAATTTACCGAAAGCTGATCTAAAAGGCCCCAGTGTAGACATTCAAGCTCCAGAGGCTGATGCCCATGCAGGAAAAATCAAGCTTCCCCAAATAAAATGGCCAAAGTTTGGCACATCGGCGCCAAAAGTGAAAGGACCAAATCTTGATGTTGATGCTGATCTACAACGTCCAGATCTAGGTCTGTCTGTTCCTGATGTAAATGCAAAGTTACCCAGTGCAGACTTGACAGCACCCAATGTTGAACTAAAAGCATCAGACTTGAGTCTCTCAGCCCCCAAACTTGAGGGAGACATTGGTACTCCAGGCATTGATGCTGGTCTCAAAACTGGCATTGATCCCAACGTGAATGTTGGTTTGCCTGAAACTGATATCAAGGCACCCAGTCTACATCTGCCAAAAGCTGACCTCCACTCATCTGATCTCAGCTTGAAAACACCAAATGTCAACCTTTATCCACCCAAAATTGGTGGTAGTCTCTCAGCACCAAACATAGACACGAGTATGCCAAAAATTGAAGTAGAAGCACCCGATGCCAATGTGAAATCTCCAGGTTTGGATGTCAACCTGCCAGAAGCAGACCTCAAAGATTCCAATATCCACTTGAAAACTCCAGATCTGGATTTGAATACCCACCTTGGTGACTTTAAAATGCCACATTACAATCATCCAAAACTTGATCTTTCAAGTCCTGAAGTAGAAGCTCCCAGTATTAATCCCACAGTTGAGGCTGGAATTAAGGTACCTGGAGTCAGCACAGATATGCCTACAACAGATGCACACATCTCTGTTCCTGCAGTAGATTTGAATGCACCAAATGTAGGTGATATTAAAGGACCTGATGTAGATGTGAAAGCTCCAGATGTAGATGCAAGTCTTGAGAAGCCCAAGATGCCACATTTCAAGATCCCAAAGTTTAGTCTTTTTGGATCTAAAGCAAAATCTCCTGAGACTAATGCCAGTGCAGATCTTGAGGGGAGTGGCTCTGACTCTGATGTGGTGGAGGTGGAGGTTCCTGTATTCAAGTTCCACAGACTGCCCCAAATCAACATTGATGGCATTGGAGGAATTACTGAAGCACTGAGCTCAATAAAATCTGACTTGGAGGAGAAGGATTTTGTTTTCAGTAAAGGAATCCGCTTGCCAGTAGTGAATGCAACAGCAAAAGGAGGAGAAAAGATTGACATTTTGGAGAGATTGAAAATCGCAAGAGAAAAGGCGTCCTCAGTGAATGTGTCGCCAACAGAAGAGAAAACTGATATTGACCTACAACACACTGGCGCAGGTCTTGATGCTAATACATCTACAGGTGCAGGAGATGCGTCTTTGGTCAGAGGAGGCACTTTCAAAGTAGACAAACCAGAGTCTACGCTGGGGCTGACCGTACCTGATATTTCTACATCAGATGAAAATGACAAATATTCACTGAGCCTTTCTAATATGCTTGGCCTTAATGTCAAGGATTCTGATGCCAACTGATCGTTCAAAGGTTGGCCTGATAAATGAAGCTCCAGTCCATAAATGTATGAATACATGCAGCGTAACTGATTTTCATGTTTTAGTTTGTGACATAAGAGAGACTAGCTGTAACTAATCCATCCATCTTGTTGTAGTTTTAATAATAATTAGCATAATAGAGTTCAGTTGTTGATACAATCTATGTATATTTTCCTGTTATTTATAAGCTTTTTCTAAATGTTAATTTGAAATTACTTTACTTTCAGTATTGCTTGTGATCACCATAAACTTTGTCTAGCAAGTGCTTTACTAAATATTTTAAAGGATAAATGAATTGTGTGAATGTGTTACTCTTCGTTCAATAAATCATTACAATGTCCAAAATAAAAATGTCCAGTAATTAAAGCCAGAGATGGTCTGTAATTGTTGAAACATCCCTCCATACAAGTGATTTAACCCACAGTCCATTCCTGCCATACCACTTGATATGATGAGTATAAAATTCTAACAACCTCATTACATTACATATAGGTAAATACAATGATTACTAAAATATGTGATACTCATGGACTTGAGGCTCTTGTATCAGGTTATGGAACACACCTTTGAGATTGTTCTGATATTGCAATTCAATATTTGAAAACAAAAACATTGACAAGTTTTTTTTTTTACATGTTTATTTCATACTGATAAAACAAAAGCTCTTAAAAATACTTTGCATGCTTTTTAGTTTACAGGTTATTTTCTTTGGGTAATTTTACAAAAGGTGTTTGACTCCAATAAACTAATGTTTATAACATGGCTCTACTTTCAGCTTTATGCTAATGTTTAGTATTCAAAAAGTTATGAAGGGGATCCTGTTAACATGGGCTCATGTTCCCCCCCCCCCCCCAAAACCCCCAAATAGTAACCCACACCAATAGAAAATCCTATTTGGGGGGTGGGGGTATTCTTTGCACCTAGAGCCATGCTAGTGTTTCTGAAATCAGGATTTCCCTTTTTCATATTTAGCCGAACAGAAAAACGGAGACAGTGAAGGTTGACAGGAATGAGTACTTTTGTAATGGGGTGGGAAACATTTCCCTTAAGAACTCAGGAAACCATCAGATGTATGGATACACTGTCTCAGAACTAAGTGTGAAATTAATCTCTTCTACCGCAGCGGTCCCCAATCCCTGGTCCACGGCCCGGTACCGGTCTGACTCGTGGTACCGGGCCGTGAGAGTTGAGGCTCGGGTGTGAAATTTGTGTTTTTCAGGGTTGTTATCGTGAACTCTGTTTCCCTGGGTCTTTCCCGTGTTGTAGTTCTGCGTCTTCTTTTGAAAGAAATATTTACGCGTGTCCATAGCAACCAGAGGGGATTAAGGAGGACGTTACTGTCAATGTTGTTGGTGTATTTCAGGAGGACGCTGCTAATAAAGTTACACAGTTACACAGTGAATTTGCGTTTATTATTATATTTACAAAACACCAGCGTTTGTGTCTCGGTCGGATCATTGAATTTTGTTGTATTTATCCGCCACACCTCAAAGTCGTAAAAACATTGTCTGACATTAAACCGTCCGTGGAGCAAAAAAGGTTGGGGACCGCTGTGTTAATGAACAAGTCAGTGGAATCACTATGTCTAAACTGTCCCATTACGGTGAAGCTATTTCAGTGTCCAACTCCAGTGTTTTGTCCTTTAACTTCTGTTCTTGTTGAGTTGCACTGCACAGTGACATCTTTCTGCCTCTGCCCAGGTATTATGAAAATCTCTAAACAGCCTTTGAAACACAGAAAGTAAGAAAATGAAATTTTGCAGCATTGACATCAACATCGTTGCTTGAATTTGAATAATCCAACTCCATCTGATTTAGTTAATGTCAATCTTTAACACTGCTCCGAAGACTCAGAATCTGCGGCAGGTGTGCCAACGTCAGGTCACAAGAAAGAAATATACTGGTGATCTGCATGCACCGATCAGATCTGTGACTTTGCATTGTATTCACTATATCCAGAACAGCGTGAGGTCAGTACTGTGCAATATTCTCTACAGACAGGTTCGACAGCATTGTTTTATCCATTTCACAAGCTCATTTACTAAAGATACAAAAAACTGGTAGCATGTATCAAAGCTTATGAAAATTAGGAAATCAAGTACAACCCTGAAAGATTAAGAGTCAAATTGATTGTGTGTGTTGCCAGCGCGACGGCCAATCCTTCTCTATCCAGCTCTGCAGCAGTCGCAGCACATCAATGCGCTGATAGATGCGGCAAAGTTCAGTGAGCTCAGTGACCGTCTTCTGGTTGTAGCGTAACAGGAACTCCTGGGTGGGGCTGTGGGACAAGGAACCCTGGGTCCGATGCTCCAGCAGGGTCAGTTCGTCATAGCTCATCCCCCAACGACTCGCAAAGTTTTTCCAGTTTTTGATGGTGCAGTGGTTTGGATCCAATTTGAGCCGCAGCAAGTCCAGCAGATCTTTGTCGTTCATGAGGTCGCTGATTTTGGGAGGGGGTGCCGGGCAGAAGCACTTCTCGCAGGGGTTCGTTAAAAACTGTAGTTCTTTGGGATAGTCTGAACTCAGAGATGGACAAGGAAAGATTGAGTTAGCTCAAGCACATTACCAAATAACATTTGCTATCTGCTAACGACAATTTGCTAACAACTATTTAGCTTGTCAGTGTTTTCTGTTACGATGAAAAACAAACGCACATTTAACATGGAAAAGGTTTCAACACATCCAAGAAATCCCTTTGAGGCAAAAAGCTTATCAAACTGCTTTAGTCTGGGTGGCTGTAGCTCAGGAGGTAGAGCAGGTCACCTTCTCATTGGAAGGTTGGTCTGCTCCAGTCTGCACGCCAGATATCCAAGATACCAACCCCACTGTTAGAAAGCTTTTAAGCATGGAACAAAGTGCTTGTATGAATGGGTGAATGAAGCATGTTATGTAGAGTAAAAAAAACAAACCCGCTATGTTCAACAGTTTAGTCAACAGCTCTGCTCAAAGCACGAGAAGCCTTTGTTGTTTACAGCCCATCAGAATAAAAGTGTCACAAAAGGAGAGCGAAGCGTGTTGCAAAGGGGCTCTGGACTATTCCAGTTTTCATTGGTGAAAGGCAGGAGTGCAACCTGCCTAGAGAGACAACCATTCACACTTAAATGTCTTTGGACTATGGGAGGAAGCTGGAATAACCAGAGAGCACCCACTGGTGTACGCGAGTCCACAATGAAAGGACTCAAATCCAGAACCTTCCTGCTGTGAGTGAACGGGGCTAAACACTGCACCGCTGTGTCATCCCAAGCTTTCTGAACTCAATGATGCAAAGCTCAAGCAGAGTGAAAGAAATGAGCATGAAGCTGAAAGCAGCAGAACAGGTCCTCTTTAATAATTTAGTCACGTATTCTTCTAGTTGTGTTGAGTACAACACAGTGCCCATCGTGAAGATTGTGGTGTGTTCGAACTCCTCTCCCAAAGTGTAACCATCATATGATTATTACTGTCAAATTTAAATCAAAGAGTAAAACTGCTGTTAGTCTGATAAGCGGTGTTTCAGTTCCTTCTGATATTTTCATTTAAAGGGTTCAGCACGAGTAACTGACCTACCTGGTGAAGAAGAAGTGGGGCAAGTGCATTCTTCCACATCTTCCACTGGCTGCACACAGAGAAGCAAAGAATGAATGGTAGGCACATGCTACTGTGGACTGGTCATTTTCCCCCCGGACTACAAACATTGCTGAGGGTATGTGAAAATGAGCGCTGCAAAGAACAACTTTACATTCACTATTCTGCTAAATCCAAATATGTCTGTGCATGATGGGATTTGCTGGGTGTCTCAGCAGGGCAGCCCGTACACCCAGTACTTCCATTCTGTGTCATTTTGCAGGTGCTGGTGTGTAATATTTGTAAAGGAATATACACCTTTTTAGCAAATACTACCATTAACTCAAGGTGGAGACATTGTTTTTGAGTGTTGTTTGGAGTGGTCGGTCGCAACCAAATATCATCAATGACCTTTTCATGAGTCGTGGAAAACATACGCAGCAAAGTAGTGAGGATATATTTTACGGAGGACAGTTATTAAAGCAACCCTTTATACTTAAAAATTATAAAGCTCATTCAAGCTGCTGTACTTTGCTGCAGAGCCGCTGCAGTAAAAGACAAAACATTTGCTACACACGGGCATGAGGCAGAGTTTTTACATTTCTCCTGCTGATGCCTCACATCCACTTTTGTGTTGGCCTCAGTGCTACTGCATCCTGAACTGCAGGAAGTCTATACATGTGCTGTCAAAGCCATGAAAATGAGAAAGCAGTATATGCCCATACTTGCAAACTCTAATTACAGCATTAGTGGAGTGAGTAAGAAAGACAGAATTACAGCTTAATAGATTTCATTTGATCTTTTTGGTGTTAAAAATACTGCAGTGCATGTACCAAACACAAGTTCTGATGGCCGTGATGTGCAGTTTGGTAAAGTGCCCCATGTGGAGCGACGTTGTAGATTGCAGCACTATAGCTAGCAACTCTAACTCTATGTACATATTTAGCAGGTATATTCCTCAACTGGATTGTGGATACTAGCATGCTGTGGATGAAGACAATATGGACCATTAATCCTCACCATGTCCCGGTGTCATAAGAGAAAGGATTATGACCATTCCTGGGACTGAGGCAACCATGGAAACAATTTAAATCGTTAACAATGTGAAACGTTTACATTCCCTACAATCGTCATGGCTGTAACGCTTCACAATGCTTGTACGCTGAGAAAAAGCTAATCAGCCATTTGTTTGATGCTGTGGTAAATTTACTGCCTTCAGTAGTCGCTGCAGTTCGGTTAGAGCAGGTTCAGGTTTCACTCGGCTGCAAATGTAGATCAGAGGTTTAGATGTGATGCTTTTTCCTGGCTGGTGCTAATAAAACATGTCTCAACAGAAGCCATGTTGCACAGTACATCAAGGTCGAGCAGAGAGTTGAGACGCTGTGCTGGAGGGGTGTGAATATTTCACCAGTGGAGAGACTGGAATAGACTGGAATGGGTCAAATCTTCTGTCCCCTTTAAGCTCGCTACCGACAGCAGCAGCACTGTTTCCGAGAGCGCCCTGAAATGGAGTCATGTGAGCGCTCTTCCTACTGTGCTCGGTCTCTGTTATTAGCAAAGTTCACAGCTGCACCTTCAGTGAGACCAAACCACATCCTGTATAATCACAGCTTAAAATAAAAGGTTCTCACAGACTATGCTCTGTGTCTTTAGATCTGGTGAATAATGTTTGGTTGTTGGCGGTCGTATTTTCAGAGGATCCCCACCCATTGGTGCTAACCAGTGCATTGCCACGCTGCCACTGTGTTCTCTTCAAGCACAACAGGGAACAAAGGGAGAGATCCAGGTTTGTAGACTGGAAGGACACCACAGCTGACGGTGTGTCCTCCCTGTTATAATCTGTTTTTGTGCTGATATGTGGCCATTGGAAACGTTTTGTTATTAACTGCACGGGCCACACAGTTGTGCCAAATCAGGATAACCAATCACTTTCTGTAAGAAGCAAAGCATCAGTTTTTAATAAAGAGTGTCTAACAGTACAGTGCACGTCATGCTTTACTCTGTTCCTATGGACTTGTTACCTGTGAAAGGCATGTAGGGAATAAAACAGCTGTGGTTTTCATACAGGGAGTGCAGAATTATTAGGCAACTGAGTATTTTGTCCACATCATCCTCTTCATGCATGTTGTCTTACTCCAAGCTGTATAGGCTCGAAAGCCTACTACCAATTAAGCATATTAGGTGATGTGCATCTCTGTAATGAGAAGGGGTGTGGTCTAATGACATCAACACCCTATATCAGGTGTGCATAATTATTAGGCAACGTCCTTTCCTTTGGCAAAATGGGTCAAAAGAAGGACTTGACAGGCTCAGAAAAGTCAAAAATAGTGAGATATCTTGCAGAGGGATGCAGCAGTCTCAAAATTGCAAAGCTTCTGAAGCGTGATCATCGAACAATCAAGCGTTTCATTCAAAATAGTCAACAGGGTCGCAAGAAGCGTGTGGAAAAACCAAGGCGCAAAATAACTGCCCATGAACTGAGAAAAGTCAAGCGTGCAGCTGCCAAGATGCCACTTGCCACCAGTTTGGCCATATTTCAGAGCTGCAACATCACTGGAGTGCCCAAAAGCACAAGGTGTGCAATACTCAGAGACATGGCCAAGGTAAGAAAGGCTGAAAGACGACCACCACTGAACAAGACACACAAGCTGAAACGTCAAGACTGGGCCAAGAAATATCTCAAGACTGGTTTTTCTAAGGTTTTATGGACTGATGAAATGAGAGTGAGTCTTGATGGGCCAGATGGATGGGCCCGTGGCTGGATTGGTAAAGGGCAGAGAGCTCCAGTCCCACTCAGACGCCAGCAAGGTGGAGGTGGAGTACTGGTTTGGGCTGGTATCATCAAAGATGAGCTTGTGGGGCCTTTTCGGGTTGAGGATGGAGTCAAGCTCAACTCCCAGTCCTACTGCCAGTTTCTGGAAGACACCTTCTTCAAGCAGTGGTACAGGAAGAAGTCTGCATCCTTCAAGAAAAACATGATTTTCATGCAGGACAATGCTCCATCACACGCGTCCAAGTACTCCACAGCGTGGCTGGCAAGAAAGGGTATAAAAGAAGAAAAACTAATGACATGGCCTCCTTGTTCACCTGATCTGAACCCCATTGAGAACCTGTGGTCCATCATCAAATGTGAGATTTACAAGGAGGGAAAACAGTACACCTCTCTGAACAGTGTCTGGGAGGCTGTGGTTGCTGCTGCACGCAATGTTGATGGTGAACAGATCAAAACACTGACAGAATCCATGGATGGCAGGCTTTTGAGTGTCCTTGCAAAGAAAGGTGGCTATATTGGTCGCTGATTTGTTTTTGTTTTGTTTTTGAATGTCAGAAATGTATATTTGTGAATGTGGAGATGTTATATTGGTTTCACTGGTAAAAATAAATAATTGAAATGGGTATATATTTGTTTTTTGTTAAGTTGCCTAATAATTATGCACAGTAATAGTCACCTGCACACACAGATATCCCCCTAAAATAGCTAAAACTAAAAACAAACTAAAAACTACTTCCAAAAACATTCAGCTTTGATATTAATGAGTTTTTTGGGTTCATTGAGAACATGGTTGTTGTTCAATAATAAAATTATTCCTCAAAAATACAACTTGCCTAATAATTCTGCACTCCCTGTAGTTAGTGAGCGCTGCACTAGAAACATGAGCAATTCAATTACTGCTCACAAACTGATTTTATATTACAGGCCACATACAGCTTGATTTGATCTAGTGTGGACCAGAGAAACAACGGCTCACACACACATCTGTATATGAGACAAAGAAGCACCGTTTCAACTAGAGATGGCACGATACCACTTTTTTATGTCCGATACCGATACCGATATCATAAATTTGGATATCTGCCGATACCGATATGAATCCGATATAGTGTTTTTTAATCAACAAAACTGTTTTTTAAATATCTTGCTGCATTTTGTATAAGTTCATACTCAAGTTTAAAACAACAACTACACTAAAGCTATTCTGTTATACCTGTATGCAAAAAAAAAAAAAAAATTTCATAGTTCAGCAATACTGATCAATCTAATAAACTTAAACCTACACCATCCTCCCTATTCTGGTATTTTAAAGAGTACTTAGTAGAGATGGACCGATCCGATATTACGTATCGGTATCGGTCCGATACTGACCTAAATTACTGGATCGGATATCGGAGAAAAATAAAAAATGTAATCCGATCCATTAAATATCACGAAAGCACCTCACAAAACTTGCAACACACCGTAACTCACCTCAGAACGTTAGCACGTCGGAGCAGTATGCATCACGTGATAGAGCGGCTGTGGCATGCGGGACCTGTCGGTGGTCTGGATAGCATGTGGAGCTTCGCTAGCAACCCGGCATTTCATCTCCGACAAAGTTATCCCGAGAGAAGTAAAGCAAGTGTGTAAGTCCATCTCTGAATGTTTGTAAAGCATTCCTGCGTTAAGCTTAACAAGCGACTGCCTCTCCTGCTGCTACTTCAATCATGAAACTGCTTAACGATCAGCTGATCGGCTTTTCTGTCGCGAGTCCGTGTCTCTAGTTTGCTTTTGGCCCACTTTGCACCAGAAAGAGGAAACCAGCGGCTGAACAGCAGCAGCACGTTTAAGCTCTATAAGCTGTTGTTAGAATGTATTTAATATTACTTTCTACTCCAGGATCTTTTTCTATGTAGCTGACGCTGGTAACTGTGCAGGGGCGGATCTAGCAAAGTTTAGCCAGGGGGGCCGATAGGGCATTAACAGGGAAAAGGGGCACAAAGACATACTTTTCTTTCTTATTCTCATTAAACGTACTGCTGTTGTTCAGCCGCTGGTTTCCTCTTTCTGGTGCAAAGTGGGCCAAAAGCAAACTAGAGACACGGACTCACGACAGAAAAGCCGATCAGCTGATCGTTAAGCAGTTTCATGATTGAAGTAGCAGCCGGAGAGGCAGTCGCTTGTTAAGCTTAACGCAGGAATGCTTTACAAACATTCAGAGATGGACTTACACACTTGCTTTACTTCTCTCGGGATAACTTTGTCGGAGATGAAATGCCGGGTTGCTAGCGAAGCTCCAAATGCTATCCAGACCACCGACAGGTCCCGCATGCCACAGCCGCTCTATCACGTGATGCATACTGCTCCGACGTGCTAACGTTCTGAGGTGAGTTACGGCGTGTTGCAAGTTTTGTGAGGTGCTTTCGTGATATTTAATGGATCGGATTACATTTTTTATTTTTCTCCGATATCCGATCCAGTAATTTAGGTCAGTATCGGACTGATACCGATACGTAATATCGGATCGGTCCATCTCTAGTTTCAACAGTACATCTGTTTTTCAACATGATAAAGAAATGCTGCTGTGGTAAACACAATAAATGTTAAACTGTAAGAAATAATCTAGAATTTAAAGACATTCGTGCACTGCGAGTGGCTGTTGGGAGGTTTTTATTATATACAGTTTAAACATCCAGTGGGCCAGTTCTGGCCCCCGAGCCTTATGTTTGACACCCCTGATGTAGTATAGTATCCTAATGTAAACAGCCCATGGTTCACCCTGCTGTTATCAGGTGAAACAGACACGTTGAATCATTTTGTGTTCAGTGTTGTCGTGCCACGTGAAACGTACATGTGTTAAATGCATGTGGACCATAATGAATTGTTACCATTGTTGTGGCTAGCCTCCGTACCACATCTGTTGAACCCTGGCACTAAAAGTGTGTCACGTGCATCAGAGCTAGTAATGCTGACCTGTCTTATTCTGTCTTCTGAGGAGGGACTCAGGTATCTCGAGGGCATCGAGCTGAGGTGCAGCGTCACAGCGTCTGCTGGAAACACATCACTACATGAGTGCGTTACAGTCAGAATGAATACATATACATGTGTACAATACAAATGCAGTTTTCAGTGAACAACACGATCAAACATCTTTCACAGTAACAGAAGAAAAGGTGCAAAAGCTCCGACTGTGGCCAGGTGCAAACCACCAGCCAGAAAGGAAGGCCACCACGTCGTCATTTACTCAGCATCACAGACACAGCTGCATCCAAAACGCCATCAGTACATCATCTCAGATCAGAGGTACTTTGAGTTGGTTGCTGTAAGAATGTGAAAATTTCAGCTCTAGCAGACTTTTGCTGCAGCTGCCTTCAGCTTTTGCTTGTTTGTCTTCTGACTCGAGTGGCGAGTGTAGCCAAACAGCAGCTTCTGCTGGGTGGACATCAGTCGACTGACTTTGACACTGAACAATATCCCGTTTCTTAAGCTGCTTTTGCAGTTAGGTCATATCCACTGGTACTGGAACACATCAGAGCTCATCCTGCAACTCCTACCAGTACTCGCATCACCACTAAACACGGGTTCCTACTGGTCTGGTTCCACTGGCACCACCACGTCGACTGATACTGTGGTGCTGCCCATCATTCTGATACCGGCCTTTTGACTGTACGTTTATCTTCGTAGCTTGTATAAACTGAACGTTTGAGACGTCCTACCAGACTGATGTCAGAATTGTTGGTAAAAATCTGTTAGGACAAAAAAATTCTAACATAGTGAATCAATGGAGCTCCCTCGTTTGAAAAGATCTTGCTTCTGTCTGCAGGTGACAAGGTCCCTTGTTTCTGCATTTAACCCAAACTTTGACTTTGTTAACAAGCAGACGGTGATGTAATGCTTAAAGCAGGCGGACAGACACACCAAGGTCGTTCAGAGCTTTACTAGAGTAGGTGAAAGTGTTTCTTACAAACCCAACAGCAACAGCATTAATTGATGTATTAGATGGCCAAAGCCATGCATTTGTACTGCCTGACTAACACCCAAGTTTCTCCGTTATCACGCATTATGTAAAACATTAGATCCAAGTTCTCGAAAAAACCAAAACATCTCAAATAAAATCTTTACTTCACATTTTTCTGAAAAATTAAAATGCAATTTAAGATAAATTGGTTAAATTTTCCATTTCTTAAAACTGACTTTTACATAAAATCCAATCCAGTTTGTAACTATTTTGATGACAGAATAAATATCCATAAATCCTTTATACAGCAGGCCAAAGCCCTCACTCACCATGGGGATCTGTTACTTGCACGGGATAATTGGCCTCCAAGGACTGTGGGACAGACAAACACAGACATGACGATATGAAAAGCAAACAGAACTGAAGACAGAAACCTGAGCAAGAAAAAGGTTGTCTACTTTGGAAGCTTCCTACTCTCTTTCTTCATGAGATAAAGACTGTAACTGAGGAAGAAAATTACTCTGGTGTGCAAAGACAGCCTGCTGCAACTTGTTCTTTGATGAGCCCTCGGGCGCTAGCAATCACAGCACACTGTGTTCAGTTATGGTACATTTCTTAGCAGATTACTGTAAGACTCTAAGGAAGAACAATGAGAAATCAGCACAAAACAAACTACATAGGAGACAAGTCAAGACAATGAGAGTGTTAAACACACGGCTGGAGAAGAGAATAATGAGGTTGCTCACAAATTCTGCCACAAAGCTGGTGGTGTCTGTGTCCTCCACAGGCTCAGAGCTGCTTCTGTCTGTTTCCGAAAAAAGGAAGAGGCTTTAATACAGTGAATGTTGATGTGGTCACCATTACTCATTTGATCTACTTCCTACTCCACAGAGACGGCCACAGTCAAGAGAAATGATTAGAAACGGTGACAGCTGTGCCGCGCTGGGCCGTGCCGGGCTGTACTGGGTAAAAGGTCATTTGAAAGAGTAAGAACAGGCTGCAACTACATTATAAGTAAAAAAGTGCAAAGTCTGAGTTTACATGTAGGTTTCCTAAACATAAGACAAAAGGTAAAGTCACCTGATAACAGTGCAAAACTCCTCTGAAACAATCTGGATATTGTTAGAGGACGACTCTGACCTCCAACAGCTCACAGAGCAGCACAAAGACGGCTTTTCAGCACCGCACTGCACTCAGGCCAAATACAGTCCTGAGCTGGTCTTTCTTGGGTTACAGCAGATAACTTACACGTGTACAAAAAACTAAACATGCAGAGCTACATAGTGTTTCAGTTTAAAGTCATAAGACATCCATGGAGCTCTCAGGACAACAAGAGTCAAGTAATGAAATATGTACGTTACACATTTCCACTCAAACGCCGGCGGATCAGGATGGAGACTTGCTTAAATATCAGGAGTCATCCTGGCAGTTTTCGCTCAGATTTAAACCGTTTTTTAAAGAACTGTATTTAGTAATAACGATAATCATAAAATGCTCTGATGGTGGGTTTTCTCAATGTCAGGTCATGGTCAAAAACATTTCCAAAATAAAAGCTGGGTTGACCAAAACAAATAAAACATTCTGTTTAGACAACAATGTCGAGGGGAAAAAGATGCACAGCCAAAATGACTCAACCTCACGACTTCCCACTCTGTCCTTTTCTCTTCCTACTCAGCTCCCTGATTAGACACCAACACATCGTGGCTGACATCAGGGCACACAGTTACAATGCTCTGACTAAATAAATGAAAAATGACTAACTATTTACTGACCAAATAAGTCGTCAAGTAAAACAAAGTCCAACAAATATTTATTGAATTCTTTTATTGTGATAAGATGCAGGCGTGTAAATGAAAGTTTCCCACAGTAATGAAGCTCTTTGATGAAGGTTTATAAAGAAAAACAAAGCATTCACATGAATGTGTTACAGTTCTACAAAGACCAGCATAACCCAGAACAACCTGAATCCTTCGCTTAAATGTAGAATTCACAGTATTGGACATTTAGTTAATAAGATACATCCTGATGTTAAAGCACATATTTCTACACGTGCCTGTTCCACAGCCACGACCTGTGTGTGTGTGTGTGTGTGTGTGTGTGTGTGTGTGTGAGATCATGCACATTACATGTGCCGTATTGCCCAGCCTTGTGTTATGACATTATCAGGAAATAATAATAATCATTTTAAAAACCCTAAAAATGGCGGTTTCCCCGACTGATCCGCTTCCTCTGCTGTAATGAAACTCTTTCAGGTTGAGCTTCAGTTTTGTATCTTTGCAGGTGTGGGAAACAGAAACGATGGCACAAACCAGAGAAACGCTGCCTTTCCTTTACGCTTGCTAAAAAGTCCTCTCTTGAATTTAATTATCTGTCTTCATCAAAAAGAACTTGATGATGACACCGAGCGCTCCACCATCAGCTGGTCAGTCAGTATATCATCTGCAGTGTTTCAAACAATTGACCTAATAGTCATTATTATCTTATTAAAGTTGAGAGCTCAGCTCACCATAAAGCACAGGCTTAACTCCAAGTGGTATTTGTCAGTGTATGACGCTGCACTTCCTGGATGTCACATGATTATATATACTTATTACGTATACACCTCAGGTCTTGCAGTGACTGTGGATTTCTTGTTGGAAAAATCAAACAGGGCAATGTTTGCTTAATGTCAGAAATTCTGATGTCACCTGATTACTGTAAAAACGTTTGTCTGTTGATGTGACTGGACTCCTAGCACCAAAGCTGGATGTGCTAATATGCATTTCCATAGCTAAATGAAAACAATTCAGTCATGGGACTTGCCGATGACTCCCTGAACTATGTATATAGCTGCAGAAAAATACTCCTGATACTACAGCTTTCTCCTGCTAACTTGAGTTCATGTCACATCCATGGCCGTTGCTTCGCTGGTTTTATTATTTTTGAGTCTTTTCATTGTTTTTCCAGATTTCTTTAAGGTTTAGAGCAGGGGTGCCCAATCCCAGTCCTCGAGAGCTACCGTCCTGCAGCTTTTAGACGCATCCTTCTTCTGACACACCTGAATCAACCGAATGGCTTGTTATCAGGCCTTTGCCAAACTTGATGGCATGCTGAAGAGGTAATCACACCATTTGATTCAGCTGTGTTGGAGTAGGGATGCATCTAAAAGCTGCAGGATAGTAGATCTCGAGGACTGGGATTGGGCAGCCCTGGTTTAGAGACTGCGGCTACTTGTTGGACCGATCGTAGTGTGGGTTCCGTTTCACCCTTTCATGATCACAGATTAGGAAGCAAACTTGAAAAGATAAAGAGTTCTTTTGTTTTGATGTAAAACAATCAATGTTGCCATTTTTGTATTAAATTCAGACATGTGACCCACCTGAGGTGTAACTGTTAAAATGCTCAGCACGTGCATACAGCAGGGTACAGTTTTCTATGTTGCAACATTCAGTTCAGAAAGAGTGAAGAAGGTCATTTAGTGTCAATCAGAACTGAACTGCAGTGGTTGTTCCATCAGCGACTGTCTGACCTCCTACATACATGAGTAACAATAAAGAGAACACACAAAGGACACGCAGGCTCTCGCCTTAAACATCACATTCAGAGTTTGTAAATCATTCATCCAACTTCAAATGTTTCCTTAAACTGAACTCATGTATTTGACAGGGAGCCAATGTAGTTTGGCTAAAGTTGGAGTAAATTAGGTGACTAATGGTTAAAAAAGACAAAACTATCAGCATATAACGTCGCTTTGCACCTCCGAGTCGTATAGAGCGTTAAGTATAGAGCAGGACCAGTCACCCAGTTATCAAGTGTAAGTTGAACCCCAGATCAGTGGAGCATTGTTTCTCCCTCTCTGGGAATGCAGAGCATGTATCTGCATGCTCGGGATAAAGTTCAAGAGATGAAATATAAACCACATCATAATACATTGCTAAGGGTCATAATTCCACACAGGTGAACCTAGCTTTTTTCCCTTTTGACCACCCATGTGTGCTGTGAAAGGATAAAGCAGTTTCTCAGCAGCCTGTGTAGAAGGCCTGTGCTCTGTCATGTGCTTCTTTCTACACATGAATGGAAGTGAATGGCATGCCAATACCTGACCCAAGCCACAGCGATGTCTAGACTGAAAGCAGCTAAATACACACCTTGTAAAAACTCGGCCTAACATACCTGGCCCTGGGTGGTACGTGTGTCTCCTTCATTATTCAGTGTGCATATTCCTGAACTGTAGAGAATTCAGCTGGTGGTGTAGTGTTTATACCCCTCCTTCAAAGCATATATTAAAAAGGACATAAAACATTTAGAAAAGGGCTGAACTTTCCAGTCTTTTCACTTTCTTTTCTGAAAGTGAGATGTGGTTCTAATAAAGAGTAGGCATCAGGGCGTAAACAGCAAAGACTGGCGGTGTGTAAAATTTGCACAGTTTACTTTGTGTGTACTTCTTTTTTTTTTTGCTCACTGTTTGCAGCACACAGACTTTCAGGGACCTGTGCTACAGACTGACATTACTATACCTAGGGTGTCTTTCTGTTATCTGGATTCACTTACCCTAATCTTGACTACTGGGATACTTGGTCACACATAGCTGGTATAACGTGCACAGGTAACCCAGGCTTTCCCCTGTGTGTTCACATGAAAGCGTGTAGGAGGTATCTGACCAATCTAAAAAGGGATGTTTCGTGGATCATATAAATTACACAGAAAATGATCCCTGTGAGTGTCACCTAGGGCTGGGCGATATGGCCTAAAATTCATATCGCGAAGCACGTGCGGTAACGATATATATCACGATATATTCTTTTCTTCTGTATAACGTATTTTCCACACTTTAAATCCTTTAATTTTCTCAAAAATCGAGAGTGTGCCTTATGTATGAATTCTGGTTCCTGCATTACGGCTGCCGTAGTGAGGAGCTTCACGAAGTAATCTGGGTCCAAAACTCCGTCCACTTCAGGTTCCAAAGTCAAACGAACACAGAGTTAAAAACGGTCTAAATTCTTTCATCTTTAGTTAAATCATCAGTGTTGCTGCTTTATCGGGTGTAACAATTAAGTTTAACATCCATGAAAACAGAATTTATTAAATTTAACGGAGTTAGAAGTTAACAGGAAGTTAGATCGCTAGTTTACACCTAAACATTTCATACCATGTTCTGACTGAGATTTCTGAAACTAATTCAAACGTACAGCTCTGTTATCACTTCCAACATAAATGAAGACAGAAAACTAAACAGCAGTGGCGTTTGCAGGGTTACTGGAGTTGGACTACCTGGTATATAATGTTGTGCTACGTGATTAGTAGTGACACAGCTATGTTAGCATAACATTAGCACAGTGAAGCTGCAGGATGAAGCCAACTTTTTTTCCACTCATTAAAAGTTAACGTGAGGGATTCTGGTGGTCAGGGACAATCACATAGCAGGATGCTATACACGGGCCAAACTTCAGTCAGGAGATTATTCATCCACAATACGAGGTTAGTTATTAATATACTGCAACAACATGGGAACAGAGTAGCTGCGAGAGAATTCAACATTAATGAATCAATGGTACAGAAGTGGAGGAAGCGCAGTTTTTGGCTTTCCCCATATTTCAACAGTGCTTCATCTCTTTGCTATGACTGTCTCCCGCCATAATTTGCAGATGATCATGGTTTTAGCCGCTGCGATGCTTTCGACCAAAACAGGCGCAGCTTGATGACATCATCAACATGCGCTATGGCGATAGAGCGATATAGTCAAAATCTCTATCGTTGGCCAAATTTATATCGTTTCTATCGCCCACCCCTAGTGTCACCTACATTATCCCATGATTTAAAAAGTGA